GGAAGCCCCGGAAAACGGGCTGAACCCCGTGGCGGCCAACGGTGGCGGCGTGGTCCCCCCTGCGCCAGCTCGTCCCCTGTCCGCTCTGTCCTGAGGAGCGGCTGGCAGCGTGTGGCGAGGCTAAAGCCAGAGAGTACCTGCTAGAATGCCCAGACGAGAGGCTCCACAGAGCCAGAGGGCATGGGGCAAGATGGCAGAGAGGAGAGTTGGGAGAGTGTCTAGGTTGGCCCTTTTTAAATTCGGTTATTTGCTTCTTAGTGTGGATTTCCAGGAGTTCTGTGTCTGGCCTGGATATGGCTTCTCTGTCAGATGAAGGCACGAATATTCATCCACGATACCGTATGCTATCAGTATCCGATTCCTTAGAAATATGCTGAGTGAAAGATTCCATTCACGGAATCAAATGTACTCAGTGTACGTGAGGTTCTGGAGCACGCAAAACTAAGCCATCCTGATAGAAGTCAGGACGATCCGTAGCAGTGGGGAGGGGGGTGATTGGAAGGAACAGGAAAGAACTTAGGGGGGTGATCCGCATCTTGACCGGATTTTGTGACAAAAGATTTATACATTTGCCACAATTCACCCAGGTGCACTTAAGAGCTGTGTATTTTCTTTTATATCAATGAGACCTCCATTATCAAAAGAAAGACAAAAACATTAAGGCACAACTCTGAAGCCACTAAAAAGTGATTTATTTCTGCTTCTAGTGATAATATCAAAACCTTATAAACTGTATTTCATAATTACCTTTCCGTTAGTTACCAATGTCCCCCATCAATATCCACAACCCCCACTCCACACAAACCCACGAAAAGGTGGATTCTATCATAAAACACTTAAGGCCTAAAATACTTTTATTGTCAAGGTCAAATCTTTTACTTCTAGATACTTAACAGTGTTACACAGAAATAGTATTAAACAGCCAAACAGTCTTCATTTCATTTTTTTTTTTTTTGTAAATAAAGAGAAAATAATGCTGAAACTATACAATGTCAAGACACAACATATGTGTGGACCAGCTGTTATGAGAAGATAACACCATTTGTTCCCTAAACTACTTCACAAGACTGTCTTTAAGATTAATGAGATAATGGACCAGATCCTTTTTAGTGGGAAAACTACTTGCTGTGGGTAATTTGGGCACTTTAGGGCACAGTGAGTCCATCACGCTACTGGGATACGATTATCGCACTAAAGCAAAATGGTAAATTTAAAAATCTACATTGTAATAATTGAGTTTTTAAATATCCACAGTGGTGCTTTCTGAAGCACAACATACACTTGAAATGAACTTGAGTTTCTTCAAAAGCAAACAGAAAACTTTTAGCGTGTGAGTTAAACAACGAGCTCTTCCGTCCTTCTAACATTTAAGAGTTTATCCTTCTACTAGGCACCCAAGGTTAAAGAAATGAAGATACAGGCACTGTCCACAAGAAGCTCACAACCTGGTGAGGAGAACACACAAATCAATAAGTTAAAGGCCGTTTGCCACGTGCTTTCCAAAAATCCCTAGGTACCTGGCACTGTAGAAATACCCGGACCGAGCACCCCATCGAGGGTCTGTGGGAAGCAGGGAGGTCTGGGCAGAGGGGTCGAGAAGGATGTGGCCGAAAGGGAGAGCCGAGGGGCTGGGCCGAGAGCGCCCCGGGCTCGAGCCAATAGTTGCCAGGAAGCTCCCAGCACGGGTGCTATGTCTCCGGTGTGGGGGCGGGGCAGAGGCAAGGAGGTAAGTGGAGGCCTGTGGGGGCAGACAGGAAAGGGCCCCGTAGCAAGGAATCAAGTAGGTGCATCTGGAACTCTGGACAAGGCTGAAGGGACAAACCTGGCAGCCGTCAGTCTCAGGAAGTAACTGAGGTCCTCACCCAAGGGGACCCGCAGGCTGCACACAGAAGCCCAGGGGCAGGTGACGAGGGACAGGCAAAGGAAACAGGGCAAGAGCAGCCAGGTATGTTAAAATAAATAAATCAATAAATCCCAGCAGAAGGTACTGTGAAATCCAAAGGAGTAAAGAGCAAGAGGAAATAACCCACAGTGACAAGGGACTCTGCCGGATGAAGAAAGACGAGACCCCGGTGTGGCCTGGATCGGGCCATTTGTGGGGTCTCAGGCGAGCTCAGCAAGGGCAGTTTCTGTGACACGACGGAGAACGAAGGCCTCACGCAGGCCGTGGCTTTCGGGAAGCTTCGCCGAGAGGGGGAGAAAGAGTGGGCCACGGCCGGCGAGGGACTTGGGCCGAAAGACGGTTTTGGGTATGAATGAGTGGGGTCGGGGGGAGCCGGCTGTTATTGGTTTCTTCTGGTAGTTTTGGTTTGGTTTCATTTTGAGAGTTTCCAGAGTTTAAATATGAAGACAACAGAACCACTAGGTAAAGAAGTGGAGGGAGGAATTTTTAAAACCAGAGAATGACGGGTAAAGAAATGAAAGAGGGGGGGAAGATGGGATATAAAAGTTATCAAGAGGGCTCCTGGGGATGGGGGTGCAGGAGAACCTACCGAGACGGGGAGGAAGCCCTACAGGTGGCCCGTGGGTAGCGAGAGGGAAGCCGAGGGCGTTCATCTCCTCGTTTGGTACCACGAGAGTTCGGTTTTGGCGAGTCAGGGCAGGTAGGCTCGTTTCTGCTTCCGCAAATGTTCTTTAAAGAAGACAAGCTAAACTTGCGTCCGTATGAAGTAAGGATGCAAGTGAGATTTAAATAGTGACGCATTCCAGATATTCTGCTGACCGTTTATTTGTCAGAATTTTACCAAAAGTAGTCCCTTCCATCGTAACATTAAAATATCTGGGGGGGACTGGCTGGCTCCTTTGCTGGAGCACGCGACTCTCGATCTCGCGGTTGTGAGTTTGAGCCCCACGCTGGGTGTGGAGAGGACTTAAAAAAATAAAATCTTTAAAAAAAAATAGCATTCAAATAGTTAGATGTCAGTCACTGATAAGCAATAGAACCCACTTACAATAATACAATCAAGGAAGGTTTGGGGCGCCTGGGTGGCTCAGTCAGTTAAGCGTCCGACTCTCAATGTCAGCTCAGGTCATGATCTCACAGTTCATGAGTTTGAGCCCCACATTGGGCACGATAACAGCATGGAGCCTGCCTGGGATTCCTTCTCTCTCCCTCTCTCTCCGCCCCTTCCCCACTCGCTCTCTCTCAAAATAAATGAACATTTTTAAAGAAGAAAGAAGCGTTTACTGAAAGATACCAAAATGAAAGCTAACCTTAAAACCCACAATTATGAATTCTTCATGGACTCCGGGGCAACTTTCAGGGAAACATCTCTCTACCCAAAAGTCACACTTCTTCTAATGACACAGAAAAGAGACAGCGGCAAAACCTGCAGAAACGGTCACCTGCACTTGACACTGAACTAATGTGTGCATGAAAGCTGGTTCCCAAACTATACGCCCCAGATCACCGGCTGTCGGTGTTCACTGAAAAACTGGCTTCACTCTCCCGTGTCCTCGCTCCTTTCAATCCCTCCATCCCATCGACCTGTGTGAGGCTCAGACAAGTTTCCAGCCCTCAGGCCTATCCCGCGACAGGACTCCCTACGCCGCCTGCGGGCCCGACACAGTGGAACCCACGCTCGCCTCGCCACACTTCCTAACTGCCCTCTCCTCTGGCTGCTTGGCGGCCACTGGGTTGTGGGGGAGCCTTTTCCCTGCCGCTCTCGGTGCTCTCCCGGCAGAGCCCCTCCCCGTGGTGTGGATTGCTGGAATGCGGACCTGCATCCCGACCGCCCTTGCACTGGAGCCTCCCACCAGATCTCCTGGGGGCACCGGGCCTTCTCCCCCGGCTCGGCACACGCCCCCACCTTCAGCCTCTGTAGGCGTCGGGCAGGAGTGGAGCAGTTCTATCAGTTCTGGAAAACTTCCCCGTTGTCCTGGGAAGTATTTGCCCAGGTAAAGAAAGATCCTGACAGGAAATCAGTGCCAGGATATTTTCTCCGATCCGATAGAAGTGCTATAACCCTATTCTATTTAACATACGGAGGTTTCTAAGAGAGAACTGTTATTAATACGGGCTTTTTGTGTCTCTTCAAGACTTCATCATACACCGACACGAGGGAGGCTGCAAGCCACCACTAATAACCGGGCATCAAATAAGATACTTCTGTTCTTTCAACTTTTTATTTATATGTTTGAGAGGGAGCGGGGGAGGGGGCACAGAGACGGGGAGAGAATCCCAAGCAGGCTCCGCACTGTCAGCGCGGAGCCCGATGTGGGGCTCGCACTCACGAACCGCGAGATCATGACCTGAGCCAAAATCTAGCATCAGACGCTTAACTGACTGAGCCACCCAGGCGCCCCAGATACTCTTCTATAACATTATTCCTAAAGATATTAAAAAAGAGTACTATATTATATAAATCTTTAGTGCAACAGACCTATGAGAAATAAGTTAACCGAGTATAAACCATGAGGTATTACTCAAAACCCAGAAAAATAAAAGGGTTAGTTTTTAAGTGAAATAAGCAAAGCGAGTATCAGTATTACACGTGTCCACCTGAAAAAATTTTTTAAAGGGGTGGATAGAGACCCAAACATAAACACACACACAGACATATAAAAAATACGCCGAGTATGTGTTTCAAAAAGTTGTTCATGTTGGGCCGTACGCACGCCCAACTCTGTCCGTGGCAAGGACGAGAAAAAGAGGAAACCCAGTCCGAGGGGCGGGGGCGACGGGACGAGGCAAATGGCTCATGGTCTCCACAGGCCTCTAGACCTTGTGCTCGAGAAACTCCCCTCCTACCAGGTAGACACGCACACGGACAGACAGATTCGTTTCTCTGTCTCTGCCCCCATAAGCCCAATTCTATACGTGCCCCAGACTGCAAAACAGGCATATGTGTTAATGTCAGTCACTGACAAAGTGGGGTTTACAATAAAGAAGTTCACTTTGTAGAGGGTTGATGCTTTTGCATGATTCTAGATGGGGGGGGGAGGGGCGGGGGGGGATCACTGTTCTGCTATGTTTACTGTTACCAAAATGGAAAACTTACTGTTGACGTGATCGATGTAGTAGACACCAATCTGTGGGTCAAACCCTGCTTCCCATCCCCACGGAAGTTCATCCCCAACACAATCGGCAAACGACAAGGGCTTCGTTAACCTACAACAAACCAGAATACACGTACAGGTGATTCTTTCTGTCAAACCACGTGTGTCAACATTCAGTTACCCTCCCCACAAGGGAAGACATGTCTAGGCCACATTTCCCTGCTGTTCTTGATTGTATCTAGAGTTGGCACCGCTGTGTCTGGAATCTCAAAGGGGAAAAACAAGGATAAAATACAGAGACGAACATCCAGAAAAGGAGCAGTAAGTCATAACATCCTTTTCAAAGTTCACAGCTTCAGACTGGGCGGTAAATCCATACAAAAAATAAATACGGACTATTTTATTTTATTTTATTTTATTTTATTTTATTTTATTTTATTTTGAGAAAAAGAGAGCGAGTGCACACATGCACCTGCAAGCGAGCAGGGGAGGACAGAGGGAGAAGGAGAGAGAGACTCCCAAGCAGGCTCCAGGCCCAGGGCGACCGTGAGATCATGACCTGGGCCGACGTGAAGAGTCGGATGCTTAATTGACGGAGCCACCCAAGTGCCCTGAATAAGACCATTCCAAGCTGACAGTGAGGACGCCTGGGCCCTAGGCTCTAGCTCTACGGCTAAATGCCTATCTCAGTACGAAGACGATTTTGTCTCAGGATTCAAACGCTGGCATCGTGGAAATCACCATACCAGTAACCCCAAGACAAGGTATGCATCAGCCTATGCTAACTTCAGATTTAGAGGCTCCTGCATAAATTAATGGAACACTTCCTTGGTTGTGAGGTCCGCTATGAGTTCTCCTTGATGGGAGGGACAAGTTTATTTCATTTTTGTAAGTATCTTCTACATAACAGTCACTCAACACGAATTTTAATGCAAGCAAATGCACAAGTTATTTACGTATCGATGTGATGTCACCTTTTGAAACGGCCTTACACTTTCTCTTTAAGCTTCAAAATGAATGGGGAAACTTACAATTTCTTAAGCAGGTTTCAAACCTGATCGCGGGTTGATCTTTCTCTCTCACTTCCTTCATTTTTGATTCTGAGATTCTCCTTGGCTGTCGGCGCACCCATGGGCAGGCTAACCCTACAGACTAGTGAATGCCCTGTTCCTGGGTGGCCAACATGAGTTGATACACCTTCTGATTTAATGTGCTAGCAACACCAGCAAAATGCCTACACACAAAATCACCCGGAGTCCCTTTTATCCGCGCTCGCGAATATCAACCATGTCAGAGCTCAGCTGAAATGGAGCTCGTTTCCAGAACCTCATCAGTCATCAGAGTAACAAACTGTGTTGTCTGCACCCTTCAGAACGCCGCAGGAACAATATGAGAAGGAGGGAGACCCTTTCTTCCCAGGCCTGGCCTACAGGAGCCTCCTCCAAGGACATAAAATACCAACGGATGAAACAGAGGGAGAGCCTCCTTTCCTCTCAATGCTCCCATAGCATGAAATCTGCATCCGGACAGAGCTCCAGAGACACTGTTCTTTGAAACCAGGTCAGCTGGCCGAAGTCATAATGAGAACAAACAGCTGTGTCACTGATTCACTACAGGCCACCTTACTGGGAGCCTCTATCTACTTCAGTTTCCTTCTCTTCCAAGCGGTGATCACACTCCCTTATCCTCTCCCTGCAATTTAACCGCCTCCTAAGATTGAGGTGAGATAAAAAAGGAATGAAATTAGGACACTGTCGAGGACATATGGTAAACGGTCAACAAAGGTTAGAGATTATCAATACCAGCACAACACGTGAGTTCTCTCATTCGTTCTTCAGAGGGACGGAGTCAGACTCTGGTTCTCAAAGTATAGCCCTCACGACTAGCAGCATCAACGTGCAGGCACCGGTCAGAAAGGACAAATTCCTGGGCCCTAGCAGAGGCCTAGAGAATCAGAAACTCTAGGGCCCAGCAATGCATGTTTCATCGAACTCTCCAGGCAGTGATGGAAAATCTGGGAACCACTAGCTCAGGAGGTAAGAGCTTGAAATCTGGCACCAGAGACATGGGTCAAATTCCTTGTCTGCCACTTACTTGCTATACAACCTAGGACAGGTTGTTAACCTTAAAAAACCCTGTTTCTCAATCTTCTTTTCAAAGGTGGGTGGATTACGAAGTTTAAATGAGACCTGACTAGCATAATTCTTGACAAACGGTGAGCTTCAATATACATTAGACATTATACGTTAGTGAAGTGAGCCTCGGGCAATGTGCCCGAATATGGCAACTCGCCATATTTCCTCTGCAAACCTGGAGTCAATCTGAACCCCATCGGAGTCAAAAAAAAAAAACCTGTGCTCTTGGAGCTGTGCTTAAATTCCATCTCAGATCATAAACCGCCCAGGAAAAGTGACCGAGGGATTAGATACTGTATCAAAAAATCTCCGTACCATAGGACCCATTGTAAGACTGATCTCTGTCTACCTTGATAAAATGGATTATTAGATAAAGCCCCTTGGCCAAGTTACCTTGCATATTATTCTGTTCTCTTTCCCTAACCCCTTTTATTGATGCCGTCTAAAACGCACACACATCCTAAAGAAATGAGTAAGACACAGAAATGACAAAAGAGTGATATTACACAAATTTTATCCTGGTACCAAGTCAACATGTTTAAGCACGAGGGGGACAGGAATATATTTATCACTCGAAGAATGAAAAGTCACAAAAGCTTCAGAACATGGGTTATGATTACAAGTTATGGTAATTTGACTACACTTGGAAATAATCCAGTTTCTCCTATTAATTGTTCAGTAGATAATAAGCATTTTATTAACTGTCACTGTTCCAAGACTAGAATTACATCTATAGGTACCCATGTAATTACGAGCTCAGTTAAAAATTCAGACGTTTCCATCCTCGGGAATTTTAACATAAAAGTTATTTGCAGTGTGACTTCAAAAATCAATCAGATGCTTTATATTCTGTACCTGGATAGATAGCTAGCTTTTCTCCGCACTCTATCAATAAGTAAAACCATTAAATACATATTTGTAAATTTCAAAATTTTAGAATGTAATTCTTACCCGAATTACAAGATACAAATAGAATGACATTCTCAGGTACCAAACAGAATTAAGCACTCAATTATGCTGTTATCCTGATAATGGGAACATATTACTATGACATAGTAAGAAGTTAACACAAAACAAAAAGAAGTAACAGGTGCATTCCAAAATCAGAAACAATATGACTTAGAACAAACACAGTAAGCAGAAATGTTGATTAGTTTCTAAACTTCTTCGTCTTGTTTTGGACAAGGAATCTCCGAAACATTCAATCTTCCTCTGATGTTGAGGAAGTAAACATCGATGGAGTTTTGTGGTTGTTGTTGTTGGTTCCTCACAAAGGAGCAACATCATGCAAAAAGCCTGAAACTAACAAGAGCCTTTATGCTAAATTCCAGAGACTACTCTTTGCTTTAAAAACAGCCTTCTTTTGCACCGTGACTAATGTGAAGAAAATGGTAATTTACTGCGGCACTGTGCCAACGTTGACATACGAAATTTGAACTTCGCGTGGTATTTCCCCCTTTGCGGGCATTATGCCATCCCTGTACATGAGCCGTCCGTTAGTGTTTACCGTCAATCATGGATACCTGCCCTATGACATGAGACGCCACACAGACTAAATATTGACAATTACGTGACGCTGAACACTGTGTGTGAGCAAGCACAAAACCAGAACGGAGTCTGTACTCACTGCCCTAAAAGATAAGGCACTGGACAGAGAAAACCATTCTCAGGTTAACAGAACTCTTGCCACGATTCAAGTCCCCCAAATGTAGAGTTTGGCCTGAATGTTAATAAAGGTCTTCACAGTTATTTTTACTTCACAGCATCTGCTGTGGCCATTGTTAACTCGAAGCAGAGTTCGTTTTGTGAGCGGTCTACGATCACTGCAGAATCTGTCCACACTAACACTGCTGAACTGCTCTGAAACAACAGGGAAGAAGTAAGGATGTGGTTCACGATTTGGATTTTGAAAGAAGGGCAACATGTTTTCTAATTTTAATTTATAATGATGTTGATTAGGCCCCTCTGCTTCTATCACCGTGCTAGTCCGGGGAAGCAGCAAAGGGACAGAGAGAGGGGAGTGACAGGAAGGCGTGAAGAGGGGCAGCAAGAAGCAAACAACTTTTTTTTTTTTTAAATCTTTATTTATTTTGAGAGAGAGAAGCAGGGGAGGGGCAGAGAGTGAGAGAGGGAGAGGGAGAATCCCAAGCAGGCTCCACGCTGCAGCACGGAGCCCAACACGGGGCTTGAATCCAGGAACCGTTGAGATCATAACCTGAGCCGCAGTCGAGAATTGGAGGCTTAACTGACTGAGCCACCCAGGCGTCCCGAGCAAATGACTCTTAAGAGAAACTGGACAAACCAAGTCAGAAGAGGGTAAGAAGGTTAACTCTGTGTCTCTGTGGAAATTCACTGAGATTCTTCAAAAGGAGTCATGTTAGATAGGAGAACCACAGACAGGGACACCGGGTCAAGGAAGAGACCGGGGCTCCGTGATATCAATGGCTCGCCCAACGTCTCGAAGCTGGGAAGGCGTGTAACTGGGCAGCCCAACCAGCCCATTTCTTCAGACTGAGTTCAAGTACACGTTGCACCTGCCCGGGCTCCCAGACAGTCCTTCCCCGTGTCGGCCCAGGGTCTGGTCTTCCTGTAACTTTCACCCGCTGGTGCAAGCGTTATCCCTTTGGTATCCCTTTGATCCCTTTGGCATGCCTTGGTACCGAAGAGTAGTAGTGTAATCCCTCTTCCATGTGATGGGCTTTCAACTATTTGAACACAACAGTCTTGTTTCCCAAACCTGCTCTCCTAGAACCCAAATGCCTGGTTCTCTTCACCGCGCTCATAATTCCTTCTCTTCTCAAAAGCCTGCCAGTCGTCAGTCGGTAATCCACCCCATTCTCCCTGCTCTGCAATCACGTCCCATCAATGATTATCAAGTATGGATCTCCCCTCTTAGAGTTCATTTTTTCCTCCCGGCAGCCTACAAACATATCCAATCCCTCCACCCTGAAAAAGCCTTGCCTCAAATCTTCTGGTT